AACCTTTTGCTTTCTTCACGTATCATGTCTTTGATGTCATCTCACAACTTGTCTGGTCTTTGGTCATTGATGTCCAATACATCAACTCTGTTGTTCAGATGGTATATGAATTCATGTGAGATGTACTCAAGGTCATATTTTGGCTCTCATGAACTGGTTTTAATGTTCTACATCTTCACCGTAAACTTGCGTATGAGCAATTAATCAACTGTCCGTTGCACAATTGACCCTTGGCCTTGTTCTGACTTGAGATATTGACCTTGTCCATGGTCTCTTTCCACAGCTGTAGTTGATTTGATTCCTGTATTCCTCTTGGCAAAGGCCACATGTATAGTCACCATTTTGTTGTTGAAAAAAAAGTATTTACCATGAATGCGTCATTGGGTGTGCAAAATTCTATCGTGTGATCTCTGGTGTCATATGATCATCAAGGCTATGTTTTCTGACCTGATGCTTCCTTATTTCTAGTTTTCTCATTTCAATCACCGGTAGTTATCAATACATCTTGATTCCATATATTTGGTAAATTTCAGCACAGAAGTTGGTAAAAATCATCAGTTTCCTCATATTTAGCTTCAGTGGTTGGTGCGTACTTTTCAATAATATTCATATTAACTGGTTTTTCTTGTAGGCATGTGGGTATTATCCTATGACTGACAACATTATACTCTGGGATAAATCTTAAAATGTTCTTTTTGACCATGAATGTAATACCATTCCTCTTTGTCATTCTCAGCATAGTAGACCATATGATCGTCTAATTCAAAACAGCCAATACCAGCCCATTTCAGCTCACTAATGCCTAGGATATCATTCTTCATGTGTTCCATTTCATTTTTTACATCTTCTATTTTTTTCTGGATTCATACTCTGTACATTCCTTGTTGTGGTTATTAGTGGTGTTTGCAGCTGTTTCTTCTCATTTTGAGTTGTGCTTCATCAGCAAATGAAGGTCCCAAAAGTTTTACTCCATCCATGTCATTAAGGTCAACTCTACTTTGAGGAGGGAACTCTTCCTCAGTTGTATTTTGAGTGCCTTCCAGCCTTGTGGGGGTGGTGTGTGTGTGTCCATCTTCCGGCACTAAACAGACAGCATTTATCTGCTATTCATAAGTTTTAAATGACCAGTTTATTTAAGAAGTGGACATGGCTACACCCTTCTTCCTAGTCTGTCTTTGTCTGGAAGCTCCACTGAAACCTGTGCACCATGGGTGACTCTGATGGTATTTGAAATACTGGTGGCATAGCTTCCAGAATCACAGAAACATACAAGTCACCCCAGTATAACAAAGTGATAACTGATAGACGAATGGTGGGTTTAATCCTTAACACTCCCTAATTCGTGAATAAGTTGCTCCTAAGTGGATTGTAGCTACAAATGGAAGTATACTTAGTCATCTTCTCTTTTTTTAGTTGACTGAATCTTAGATTTATTGAATATAGTAATTTTATCAGTAGCGTTCTTTTCACAAAATAATAGAATCTACTCTGGATAAGTTAAAGCAGGAAAGGGATTTATTAAAAGAAACTTAGCTCAAAATTGTTAGGAGGGCTGAAGAAAAAGATTTGTGGCTAAGCTTTCAGAAATAACACCCAAACCATACCACACAGCCTGCTGAGGAAACCACAGCCATTGCCACTTCAAATACTAAGCCCCAAGACCTCAATTTGACTGCCAGTTGTTAGAAGTTCTGGTGGTATTTCTGCGGCAGGAGTCAAATATTGTAACCACTAGAAAACCACCACTGTTGCCACTACCACCTCTAAAGGCTGAACATTTATGTTACTACCAGTAATAGCAGAAACTGAAGCCCTATATCCAACCAACTTCCTTCTAATATCAGGACAAGCTAAGTGACATAGTAGTAACAGTGAACTCCTAAGTCTTACTGGCTCACAACAACAAAGATGTATTTTCACTCATGTTGTAGTTCTGGCATGGGTCTGTAGGAGTGGTTTTGCTCACTGTGATCACTCAGGGATCCAGGCTGTTGGAGACTCCACCATTCTATGATGCTACCTTCTTGATATGAGCCTTCAGGGTGTGCTGTAGCAGGAAAAAGGATTGAGGAAAAAACCACACTGGCTCTGGTTCTTGAATGCTTCTGCTCACATTCCGTTGAATACTTAGTCTTCTTAAACTTTGGAAAATTTGTGGGAATGTAATTATAAAAAAAAAAAAAAAATCACTTAGATACCTCACCATCTAGAGAAAACTACCATTAATGATATGATGTATTTATTTCTAGTTTTTGTGTCTAGTTTTTCTTTTTTGTTAATATACTGTGTTTATTGTTTGCTTCTGTAAATATAACTGCCTAGGGAATCAAAAAAAAAAAAACCCAAAAAACAAAAAAACAACAAACAATCCAATGTAATTGTTGTTATTGTTATGTGCTGTTGAGTCAGACCTGACTCATAGCGACCCCTCCTTGGGTTATTGAGGCAGTATCACTATGGAAGTAGATTGCCCAATCTTCCTTCTGAGGAGTGACTGATGGGTGTGAACCGCCAGCCTTCTGGTTAGCAGTCAGGTGCCTTAGGCACTATGCTACCAGAGCTCCTAACAATCCTATATTCTGTCACATTGGTTGTTATGAGTTGGAATCAACTTGATAGCACCTAACGACAATATGGTTTGTCTTGATATCTTTTACTATCTTTTCTTTTACTTTAATTATGCTCAGTATTTTTTTTCTGCTATTACAGTTAATATTAGTATAATGGGGAAAATATTGAGGAGAAAAACGAATTACAAATTTTTCTTCTTAAAAGAGGGAATTAAGATCAGAATTCCCAGGTGTATAGTAGAGCTGACAAGGGGCAAGGTTGTGGTCACTGCTTGGTCACAGCTAGCTACCCAGAGGGATAGAGTAGTTGAACCTGTGGGCTTGGGACCATAGTCGCAGGGGACAATTGGTATAACATACTATACAAAACATTGTTCCACCTCCTACTTTGGTGAGTAGCGACTGGAATCTTAAAAGCTAGCAAGCTGCCATCTAGATGCAACGATGGGTCTCTCCTCGTCCAGAGCAAAGAAGAATGAAGAAAACCAAAATTCATGGAAACAATTAGTCCTAGTGACTGGTACACCATCTGATCTGCAGCCTATACTACTATGAGACCAGAAGAACTAGATGGTGCCCGGCTACCACTGTCATCCACTTGGAAAGGGATCTATGTAGGAGATCCTTGATAGAGGGGGAGAACAATGTGGAACAAAACTCAAAATCATTTGGAGACAAAAAAAAGGGAGAGGGACCAGGTTTGCTGGTCCGATAGAGCCTGGTGGAACCACGAAGACTATGGCCCCTAGCTGCCCTTCAGGTCTGGAATTGAACCCACACCTGTGGTTTCCAGCCAAACAGAAGACAGGCATATGAGTTGGACATTTATCTCAAGTAGATACACTCCTTGAAGAGAACAATCATGGGAGAAAGAAGGGCTGCTTATGCACAGGGAGACAGCTCAGGGGGCAGGAGTGTATGGAGGAATGGTGTGATAGTTGAAGATGTGTCAACTTGGCTGGACTCCAGTTGTGAATGGTGGTTCCCATGATGGGATCAGATGACTGAGTTCTGAGTGGCCGGTCTGCCCAAGGGGAGTTTCCCCAGGGGTGTGGCCTACCTGCAATGCTATTCCAAGGACAAGCTGGAAGAACGGCATTCCGGACTATATACTTCCTTGAGTGAGCGGCTTGCCGCTCGCCCTGGAGGTTTCGGATTCATCCTTTGTTGGGAACAGCAACCAGCGTGCTGCGTGCCAGCTTGATTCTCTCGGCTCTGTTGTGCTTACGGGAACCAGGCGGCTCCGGGCCTCATCTCCTCCAGAGACGAACTTTGTGGCTTGAACTCCTCTGCCGTGCGTGCGAAAGCCAGGCGGCTCCGGGCCCCATCCCCCTCCAGAGACGAACTTTTCAGCTTGAACTTGTCGGCTTCTACACACTTGTGAGCCATTTACCTAAGATAAATCTCTCTCTCTCTCTCTTTCTCTCTCTATAAATATATATATACACTTTGCTGGTTTTTGTGTTTCTCTAGAGAACCCAATCCAACACAGATGGACACTGGGAAAAGGTAACAATGGGGAGGAAGTGGGAAGAGAGCTGTTACATTGTGATAAACTGTGGTCAATGACATGAGACAAAGTACATGTGAACTGCTGTATGGAAAGTGAATTTGCTCTGTAAATCTTCACCCAAATCACAATAAACACACACACACACACACACACAGAGGGCATTAAGGTCGCTATGAGTGAGAGCCTACTTGGTGGTAACTAACAACAACAACAGCAGGGTTGGGGAGTAACTGCTAATGGGAGTGGAGTTTCTTTTTGGGGGGATGAAATGTTCCAGAATTGATTGTGGTGATGATTGCACAATTCAGTGAGTTTATGAGAAACAATTGAAAAGTACACTTTATTTATTTTGATTTTTTTTTTTTTTTTAAAAGTACACTTTAAATGAATGAGTTGTGTGACTTGGGAAAGGTACTTCAATAAAATTATTAAAAAAAAAAGGTGTAAAATATAAGCAAATATAAGCAAATGCATATTTGCCTTCTTTAATCTATGTGAGTATGATGCCTTAGTAACTGAAAACTTTCAACATAGGATCTACTTAAGTGGGAAGCACAAATAGAAATTCTTCTGATTTTTCCTTATATCCTCCATGCCTGCAAGCATTTTTTTTGGTTCCTAGTGGATCCAAATAACCAGTCAGCCCTCACTTCCATCAAATGTCTCATGATGTCCTGAACTTCCCATTCAGTAGGAATAAGGCAGAAGGAGCTCAGCTTTGGAGATTCCTTCTCCGAGAGAGTCCTGGAACTTTTCTGAGGATAATGTTGTTGTTTCCCTCAGAACCTGTCATATTATGTTTATTGTCATTTCTTCTTTTATGCTTTTTGCCATCCAGATACTGGGTTTGTGGGGACAGGGGCAAATGTGTCAACGCTGAATTTGTGGCTGACAGTGTTTTCTTCCTCTCCATGTAGCTATGGTGTACCTTCCACAAGAAGTCCTTGGTGAAAACAGCATGCCTGAAGAGTCTGAAGGCCTTAAAATTGGATTACTTGGACCTCTATCTCATCCACTGGCCCATGGGTTTCAAGGTACAATTCAGTAGGTGGTTAGATACCCAGTGTGCAGTACCTTTCCCTTCCTTGCTGTCATCCCACAGTGTGGGAGAAAAAGTGTGACACAGTAGTGAGGGCACGTGAGTTGTAGTGCTGCATCACTCATACACTGTGTGGTTTGAGCAAGCCACTTAATATCTCTGAGCCTCAACTCAGGAGATGCTTGAATTAGAAAACCTCTGAGGCCCCCCACAATTCTAACCTTCTACAATTCTTTCTTCTAAGCCAGTTATTTTTCCTCAAAGCCCAGAGAATAGCAAATTTTTTTCCATGGGGTTTTTAAATGAAAGCAGTATCAGACAAGTAATACTGCTGCTCAAAGTCACTGCTTGTTCCATTACCAGATTCCCCATGACTTCTGGCCTTGTCTCGCTACTTGCTAGGTTCTGTTCTCTTTGTGGTATAGAGGTATTTGGTTGCTCACCTGCAGCATGGGTTCAGTTGCTTATGGTGGCAGATTATCTTTCTGCTAGTTTCATCTTCTTTTTACTTAATTGCATTTCATATCCCTTTTCTCCCTTTAAACTTTCCCGAACTTTCCTGTGGTTTATCTCCACCTGGTGGCTTGGTGGTGAGTACCTGCCTCACTCTTGTGCTGGTCCTGGCCAGGATGTCCCTTCACATCTGCCCCAGACCAAAATAACAACCTGCCTGGCCAAGGACTTAGTCACACAGGTGGCACCTGTGAATTATGGAAACCTTTGAAAGTGTGTTCTAAGTTAGAATGGGTAGTCAGATGGTCAGCAGTCTTCTGTGTGTTTACTTTGAGGATCTCACTGTGTGTGCCAAACTGTTGGTTGTCTTTTAAGATTAAAACAACACCAAAAACCACCTCATTCCTAATGTAGCTTTGCTTTAAGTTTTTGTATCTAGTTTCAATAGAGTATAAGCCACTCTATGTTATTCACAATAATAAAGAATATAAGATGCCCTGAAAGCAAAACAAGAGTGAAATGATACCTGTATCTTTGAAATTCAGTGCAATTTTTTTGAGAATAATAATTAAAAATAATAATAGTAGCTAATAAGTATACAAGGAGCTCTGGTGGCACAGTGATCAAGACATTCGGCTGCTAACCAAAAGGTTAGTGGTTCAAAGTTACCACCTCTCCATGGGAGAAAAGCAGGCAGTCCGCTTTGGTAAAGATTTACAGCCTTGGAAATCCTATGTGGCAATTCTACTCTGTCTGTAGGATCACTGTGAGTCAGAATCATATGGCAGTGGATTGGGTTTTTGTTTCTTTTTAATAATTACATAGCACTTAGTATGTACCAGGCACTCTTCCAGGTGTTTTACATATATGAACTTATTTAATCCTCACAGAAATTCTGAGATAGATAGTGTTAATATCACTGTTACACAGATGAAACTGAAGTTCTGACAGTTGAAGATTGTTGAGACCTAGAAACCTCTGTTCAGGTCATTCATTCATTCATTCATTCATTCATTATGCTGCCTGTCCCTCACCTCCTAGCAGATTCCTGTGGTTGGATTTCTGGGTTGTAAAATAGGGAGGGACAGGGCAGTGTTTTGTTCTGTTGCATATGGGATTGCTATGAGTTGGAACTAACTCAATGGCACCTAACACAGGTGAGAGGTCTCAGATCACTCAAGAGATTACAGAGTGTAAATCTTGGAGTATTTGAGAGTTAAGTATATGAAACAGGAATGCCTAGAATGAGAACTCAAACTTCAAGTACAACTGCTGAGGAATGGCCACGCCCAGGGCTTTATTCTTAGAGCAGCACAGTCAGCCTGTCTCTGGCTGGTAGGAACTGGTAGGCCTGTTAGGATTTTTGATGATTAGGAAGGCAGAAAGGAGCCCTGGTGGCACAGTGGCTAAGCACTTGGCTGCTAACCATAAGGTCAGTCGTTTGAACTCTCCAGCTGCTCCATGGGAGAAAGTTGTGGCAGTCTGCTTCCATAAAGATACCAGCCTTGGAAACCCTATGGGACATTTCTACTCTGTCCTATAGTGTTGCTATGAGTCAGAATCACCTCGATGGCAATGGGTTTCTAGGAGGGCAGAGCGCAGAGATGAGGTCAGGATGGCATTTGTGTGGAGGGAGAAGTAAGTATCAGCTGGGGAGGTGTTTCAGGTCATCATCCAGAATTCTTCCAAAATATGAATCATGCTGAAATGTTGGACATTCTCCTCACTGATGCTTAGGAGAATAATTGTCATTAAATAAATATGTGTCTTACACCATTCAGCCTGTAACATGTTATATAGAGTTGTGCATGAGTATAGCAGGTGGATTATAAACCAATACCTATAACTATTTTTACCCTTTCAAGTTGTCTTTCTCTGCCCTACACTTTTCATGCACCTGGTATTAATCCTCACTTCACTATCTCTCATTGTGTTGGGAATTCTAAGAAAAGGAGAGAAGATCCTGACAATGGAATTGGGAGAAAGTGGATTGAAGTTTTACAACATGAAGGAAGCCTTCTTCTCCACCCCAAGTTGCTTACGTAAAATTACTAAACTATTTCTTGGCAGTGGGCAAGGATTCAAGGTCTTCCATTCATTTCCTGTTTTCTGAGAGGTGGGCAAAGAACTTCAAGACTGTCAGGGACCTTGTAGACCATCCAGTCTATCCTACCTTTGGTCTTAATAAAAGTGAAGGCCTGGAGAAGTGAAGTCACATGGCCAGGTTGGGGTTTCTTAGAATGGGCCCATTTTCTGATATATAGTCCAGAGTTCTTTCCACACATTTTGATTCTCCCTCTACCCAGTCTCCACATCAGGGATGGCTTATAAGCTCCTTTTCTTCTGGTTTTCACAGCCTGGGGAGAAAGATTTGCCTTTAGATCGTAGTGGCAAGGTAATACCCAGTGAAACGGACTACCTGCAAACATGGGAGGTAAGCTAAGCCACACTGTCTGCCAATTTCTTGCTTCCTAGTAGGGAGCTCTGGTAGCATAGTGCCTAAGGCACTTGACTGCTAACCAGAAGGCTGGCGGTTCAAACCCACCAGCCACTCCTCGGAAGGAAGGTTGGGCAATCCTACTTCCGTAGTGATACTGCCTCGGAAACCCAAGGAGGGGTCGCTATGAGTCGGGGCCGACTCGACGGCAAATAACAACAACAGTTAATGAATGTCACAATAGGAAACTGTAAGATCTTGAGCGTCTTGTGTTCAAACACACCAGGATTCTCTACTTTAGGCATACATAGAATTTGTAATATGAATTAGGAATGAACCCTTGGTTGGAGAACTCAGAGACCTCAATGACTTTCTTACTACCTTAGTTTCGTTCATCTCTCTGAAACATTTGTTTTAGGGATAACTAATCCATATCTCCCCTTTTCCCTCCTCCAAATGTTTTGTTTATTTTCTGATTAAAAAAATATCATATGCAGGCATACTTCATTTTATTGTGCTTTGCTGATACTGTTTTTTTTCCCAAATTAAAGTTTTGTGCCAACCCTGTATTGAACAAGTCTATTGGCACCATTTTTCTAACTGCGTGTGCTTATTTCGTGTCTCTGTGTAACATTTTGGTAATTCTCACAATATTTCAAACTTTGTCTTAATGCTGTTGCATACTTAATAAACTAAAGTGTAATGTACACATAGCTTTCATATGCTCTGGGAAACCAGAAATTTCACGTGACTCGGTTTCTTGCACTGTTTGCTTTATTGGAGTGGTCTGGAACTGAACCTGCAGTACTCTGAGATATGCCTGTATTCATTACAGAAAATACAGAAGAGTATAAGAAAGTAAATAAAAATAATCCATTTCCCTATCATCCAGTTGTAACCACTGTTAACATTTTGTAGTTCCTTTTTAAGTGGCAGTGAGGTTTTTTTGTTTTTGTTTTCCCCCAAGCATTTTAGAATGGTAACTTGAGCAGTATGGTGATGTTTGGTTTGGGAAGTGGTAAAAGCTTGGAGGTAGAGTTAGCAATTTACAAGCCTATTGCCAGATGGAAATTGATGAGGGCTTGAAGTAAGATAATGACCAAGGAATGGAGAGGAGGTGATAGATGTGATAGATTCCTGGATGTAGAGTTGATAGACTGGTGTGGGTGAGGGGCAGGGAGATTCCCTGGTGACTTAGTCTTCTAGCACTGGAGACTCAATGCCTGCAATCTTGCTAACCAACAAACTGAAGAGAGAGGGAGGGGCAAATGTGAGGCACAGCAGGAAAGTGAGTTGAAATTTGAGCTCTGAGTTAGGTCATATCCTGAATTCAGGAGAAGAGATTCTGGAACTGTTAATGGAATTGATATGTTAAAACTATGGGAATGCCTAGGATTGTCCAGGGAGAGTGAGAATAAGGAGGGGAACA